ACGACTTTAAGTTAAGTCGTCTGGGCAGACGACTTACGAGGGCTAGAAACGTAAAAAAAAATACCATTTTTTTGTTTGTTCACAAGGGGTTGGTTGTAATTTCAATAGCCTTTAAAGTTACTTTTGCATTTGATTCAAGTTTGGGTTTACTTTTGCATTTCAAATCAAGTTTTGAGTCATATTTGGCAATTTTCCCTAATTTTTATACACTAAAATCAATTTTTTTTTATTGTTTACTAAATATATCTTATAATTTTAAAAAATCTAAATAAGAAAATTTTTCTGTAAATTAATATCTTTATAAATTAATAAAATTTCAAAGTCCTAACACTACTAATTATTAGAAATTTTATTGTATATATATTTATGTATTTTTTTCAGTAACTAATCCGCCCGTAGGATGGAAATCTTATTATTTTAACTTTTTTATTTGTACAACAATATAACATTTTTAGTTTATGGTGAATTGAGTAGATATCCTTAACAAAATGTGAAATTAGGGATTTGCCATATTTTGGTGGGGAAAGTAGTGATGTGTGAAGAGGAGAGATAAGGAAGAAATAGGGTATATAGTGAACTAATGGATTTGTGGTGTGTAGAGAGCTCAATTTTATATTAACTTATATGGATGGCTTTTTGTTGGAATGCAATTTTCTTAGGGACCTAAAAGTAAAAGGAAAGATTTGAGGGATCAAGCAAGAAGGGCAATTCTGGTAATGTACATAAAGTTCTTGTATAAAACAAACCCTAGATAAACTTTTACGGCTGACATATCTAATTGTCAAGCCTTGGTTCTTCCGAATCTTGTCCGGTGCTACTAATTCCTGGTACGAAGTCCGACACATCTCTCTCTCTCTCTGTCGTTCAGTTATCGGATAGGGTTGTGTTTGATTTCATTCACTTTACGGTTAAGTTTCGTTCAGATTAATGATATATCTTTGAGTTGCGCTCCGCTATAATCTATTCTGTTTTTTTTTAATTTCTTTTTTTTTTAACTTTCTTGTGTCCGAGAAGCTTGCTCTTGAATTATTTCAAAACAGTGAAAAAGATCTGTGCATTGGTTGTGTTGTTTTGTCTACAATCTTGTGTATAGCTTTTTATCTGTTGAATGTTCTTGAGTTTCTTCCTGATTCTTGCAACAATTGACATCTCTGAATTATAAAGTTTTGATCTTTCTTCATTTGAAAGCTGAACAAGTAGATGATGCATGAAGCTATGTTACATGATGTCATGACACATGCTTTCTTTATTTTAGATGGCAAAGCGTTTGGAACATGAGCATTGCAATGGTTCATAGTGATGTAGAGAGGGAATGGGAGATCACTGGGAGTTGTGTCATGTTGTTTTTTTTAAAAAAATATTTTTTGCAGATTCTTGATTTGGGAAAAGTTTACTTAATCATGGGAAGATCTGGAGAAAAAATAGATTTCAAATTTTATAATATCTTTTTTGGAGCACTTTGGAGCAAACAAGCATTGTGGAGCTTGTGGAGCACTTGCTATTACCATGGATTGCTCTCACTTGGTTTGCTTCATACATTTTTGGTCTTATCATCTTCATATTTTCTATATGCTGATGCAGTGATGCTGAATGGGAAAGCTGTCTGTGTGGAGATTCTTTGTCCTTTAGAGATAAACCTTGTGTCTTTTATTTATATGTTTCCTTTTATTTATATGTTTCCTTTTATTTTTATCTGCAGTTATCTCTCTGCTTTGTTTTAACAACCTTTGCAAACAATGAGTGGTCGGTTTTCTCGGTCCATCTATGTTGGTAACTTGCCTGGTGACATTAGGGAGTCTGAGATTGAAGATCTCTTCTACAAGGTCAGTTCTTGCTACTTTTCTTAAAATTATCCAGTTGGTTTTGAAAGGCATCCCCATTGTTCTAAGAGAATGTTTTGAATTGGTTATCTCAATTGCAGTATGGCCGCATAGTTGATATTGAGTTGAAGGTTCCACCTCGTCCTCCGTGTTACTGCTTTGTTGAGGCATGTCTCTTTGTTTTGAATTATATGGTTTTAATCAATTTTACAAGATATGTTTTCAGCTAACCAAGCTCTATGTTTGTAGTTTGAGCATCCTCGGGATGCTGAAGATGCAATCGATGGTCGTAATGGCTACAACTTTGACGGCTGTCGCTTCAGGGTAATCTAACATTCATTACTTCCTTACTTCATATGCCTTGAACAACTTATACCAACTTTCAGTCTCTGCTTTACATTCCCTTTTGATGTTTACATGTATAGTAGTCTTGTTGTTTCTAATAGTTATGAATGCAGGTTGAGCTTTCCCATGGTGGTCGAGGACAGTCTTCAGGTGATCGTCGTGGCGGTGGTGGATATCGTGGTGGGGGTGGTGGCTATGGAGGTGGAGGTGGTGGATATGCCCGTTTTGGTGTCTCAAGACACTCTGAATTCAGAGGTTTGTGTTATTTGCTGTGAAAAATTTGGTGTTTGTAAGATTTGGTTGAATCTTCAACTCTTTCTCAATGTTTTCTTGGATGGCTATGTGCAGTTATTGTACGTGGGCTCCCATCATCTGCTTCATGGCAAGATTTGAAGGTGTGTGGTGATTCTTAATGTTTTGGCTGGCAACATTTTTGTTGTCTATTTTCTATCTTTTTCTTCATATTAAAACACTATTGTTTCAGGATCATATGCGGAAAGCTGGTGATGTGTGCTTTACTGAGGTCACTCGAGACAGTGATGGTGCGTTACTATACACCACTTCTTAACAATATATTTCCTCTTCTTAGCGTTTGTGGTTGGGATATAGTATTTATGTCTTTTTTTCCTTACACATGACTATCTTTGATGCTCTATGATCAGGAACTTATGGTGTTGTTGACTACACCAATTATGATGACATGAAGTACGCGGTAAGTTTCCACTCTCTTCTTCTCCTCTTGCTGTTTATGAAGCTATGAACTGTATTGTTACCTCCGGTGTTCATAGTTTTGAGATTGTTTTTGTTCAGATAAGGAAACTTGATGATACAGAGTTCAGAAACCCCTGGGCTAGAGGCTATATCCGGGTACCGTTTTTCTCCTTGCAGTCTTATAATGGTCTACCTTTATTTGTTTGCCCTCTTTAGACTGTAATCCATAAAATATGTTTCGTATGGGCAGGTTAAGAAGTATGAAAGCTCCCAGTCAAGAAGCCCAAGCAGAAGCAGGAGCCGTAGCCGAGGCCGTGGTCGCAGCCCTAGCCGCAGCGTTAGCAGAAGCAGGAGCCCAAGAAAGAATCTGAGGTCCGTTTGTTGACACTGAACCTTGTATATTTATCTTCATTTTGAGCAATATCTTTAAATGGAGTTTTTTTTTGTTTTCCAAATATTTATTGAAGTAAATCACCAAGACGTTCCCTTTCAAGATCCATATCAAAATCTAGATCACCATCTCCTGACAGAAAGAAGAGTCTCCCTAAGTAATTTCTCATCCTCTAATTTATTTCGTTCTTTTATTTCTGTTTTAAAGTGGTTTTTAATTTTTATTTTAATTCAATCATTATTGAGCAATGTCGAGATCGAGGTCCAGGTCTCTTTCAAAATCTCCTGCCAAGGTATACAAATAAGTTGCATTTTAAACTACGTAGATAACGTTGAATTGTAGGCAAAAAGACCAATCTGAATTTTGTTGAAAATTGCTTCTTCAGGTTCAGGAAGACAATGAGTGAGTGATCAAATGGCAAAGATCAAATGCGAGAAATGGAGTTTTATGCAAAATTGTAGACTACTAGATACTTTGATTTTGTCTCTCTACTAGTACTTTGGTCTTAAAAACATGTCTTTACCCGCTCTTTGAAATATTCATGAACTGTTTGGGAGTTTAAGACACTAGGCTTTTAAGTCTTGAGATCATATTCTATCGATCAAAATTTTTCTAATACATTAATTGAAAATGTAAACTTTTAAATATCGTAATATTTTTGTGCTCCTTATAGCAAATGACAAATGCCTGACACCGAAAACGTAACCAATCTTCCAAATCCCAGTTTATCTGTTGTTGTCCGACAATATCTAACTACACTATGAACCTCTATAAATTAATACTCTTCTGGTGTAGTTCCAACATTATTAATTTATAGAGGTTTCACTGTATGTGCATATATTTTGTTGCATCTCATATAATGCAATATCGTAATATATTGAGCCCGTCTTAAGATCAGAACCAGAAATAGATGTAACCAGCTAACTAGATTTTGACCAGCCCTTATAAAGGGCGGGACAATCGTTTTGCTTTAAATTAATACCTTTGTTAGATTATTCACAAGTATGTAATGGCATGAGTATCCGGGCTCGGATAAATGGTCAATAAGAATTATGGTTTAATCCGACATATATAAATTAAATTTTTTCCTTAAATTCTGTAAACGTAAGTATTTGTAATTTGCGAATTCTATAAATCTATGCCCGCTAGGATGTAATATGTCGTCGAAATGTTGCGGTCCAAGTTAAATGGTATAACTGAAGATCCTCGGTTTTCCAAGTTTATGTTTGTGCTTATTTTGTAAGATCATTGAGTAAAGAATGGTTGGTGTTGTTTACTAAAGCTACAGTAACTTAATGCTGGCGGGTTTAAGATTTTTTAGTGGTTTTTAATTAGTGAATATTTCTTCATACTCAAAATGGATTACTTATTGGATCACCGAATTTGCCAATCCAACCACGGGTCTGGTTGGATGTAAAAACTTATGGAAACCAAGGTGAACACAAAATTTTATCAGATTCTAATATTGTTATTTGAACTAAATAAAAAAACTAAAATAATCAAATCAAAAGGTATCCATATTCATAAATAACCAAATAGTTCTTATAGGTTTTGAAAAAAAAAAACGAAAACACAACTGAACCAGAATCAAACAAAAAACATGAAATGAATCGAAAACCAAATTGCCTAAACATATTAGTGAGCAAACAAACAGATTAATAAATTTATCAACAAAAAAATAATCCCGCACTTTAAAAGCGTGGGTCAAAATCTAGGTATGAATATAAAATATGAACCTGAAGTCCAAACTGAACCCAAACAAAAAAAACGAACAGTATCCGGTCCAAAGGTAAGAAATATCAGAATGAATTTTGTAGAGTAGTTGGATGTAAAAACTTATGGAAACCAAGGTGAACTCAAAATTTTACCAGATTCTAATATTGTTATTTGAACTAAATCAAAAACTATAATAATCAAATCAAAAGGTATCCATATTCATAAATAACCACATAGTTCTTATAGGTTTTGAACAAAAAAAAAACGAAAACACATCTGAACCAGAATCAAACAAAAATACATGAAATGAACCGAAAACCAAATTGCCTAAACATATTAGTGAGCGAACAAACAGGTTAATAAATTTATCAACAAAAAAATAATCCCGCACTTTAAAAGCGCGGAACAAAATCTAGGTATGAATATAAAATATGAACCTGAAGTCCAAACTGAACCCAAACAAAAAAAAACGAACGGTATCCGGTCCAAAGGTAAGAAATATCAGAATGAATTTTGTAGAGTAGTAAAAAACATATCCGAATCTGAAGCGTTATTAGCTAAACCCGAACGGATAGCTTGAAAAAATTGAAAACCCAAAAAACCGATTCGAAAATCCAAATTAATCACAACTATAAATATTTGAAACATAAATATGTGCTTTAAATATTAAATTTTATATTTATTTGAAACGATATCATAAAAAAATTTAAATTTGAGATAAATACCTTAAATATCTAATTCAATATAGATAAGTATTTATTTCTTATGCTTTGCTTTTAATTTTGGATTTAACTTCAGATATCTGAACCAAACCAATATAATCTGAATACGAATGATATATCGTTACTTATGGGTTTTAAGATGTGATATAAATTAGAACCAAAACCGATGTATTATATCCAAACTCGTCTGTATTTACAAATTTACCAATATGAGATCTAGGATGTGATATAAACTAGAACAAGAATTCAAAAGATCCAACCCATATCTCAACGGATACCTGAACTCCCAAGCCTAATTAAAGTGTGCTTTATATTTTGTTCAAAATATTTACATATTTGTTGGAATAACCCGTTAAATTATACTCATAAGAATATTAAAAGAAAAAAATTTGCACTTTAAAAGCAATGAATTATTTTTTATTGAAAAATTTGGTAACCTGTCTAGTTGTTTTCTAATATCTTTATACATCGAGATTCAGTTTTTGATTCACTTCCGATTTCTTTTTTTTTTTGGTGGTTCCGTTTTAGTTTTGGGGGTCGGTTTTTCAGTTCAAGAGATATATGAACTATTTAGTTACCTATAAATTCGGGTTGGATTTGGGTTAGCTGTTTTTTTTATTTGGTTGGGCTTGGAATTCAATAAAATTTTAAATTTATTTCAGTTCTGGTTTGCTTCTTATTTTTCTACTAATTTTTAATTGTTTGGTATAAGTCAAATTTTAGGATTTATTGATATAATATCGAATAATTGGGATAAATTTAAATATTTTGATATAAATTTGGGTGACTCGGATTTAAAGGGAAATTCCGATAATTTTTACAAATCAAGATAATTGAATTCAGACTCCTGCTCATAATTGTTTGGAACTCCATTAAACAGAATAACATATCCTCATTCACAAATTCATAGGGTTATTTTCGTTTGGTTGTAAACATGATCGGTTGGTCGGTAGCTTCCAAAAGCAGCAGTTACAGAAAAATATTTCAATATTCTTCCACTCAGCAACACAGCATACACTCCACAAACGTATAAGGTAGCTCTGTATACATGTCCCGTGGGTTACACCCTGAAATCGCAACATATATAAAAATCAATAAAAAAATCAATCGGTTCATGAAACCATATGATTCGAGCAGACAATATATCATATATTTGATTAGCTTACCTTTTTGTCAGCAAAAATTATTTCAAGAGATTAACCAAAATTGTCGTTGAATTGCGTCCAAGTGGATTTCTTTCACTTGAATGGACCAGTGGGTTTTGAAATCTTTCACTTCAAAAGGGTACGATATTTTCTGCATACCTTTCATTTTCGTATAGAATTGTGGTTCTAGGGATAATTGTTTGACACCCGTAGTATATAGATAAGAAAGATAGGTTTTGTTAGTATATTCGAATATCTTATGTATATATTTCAAGAACTGTTTTATAATTTTATATCTGAAAATTGCAGTAATATCTCTTAGAATATCCACATAAATCAGTTGTAAACTATTATCTATTTTGTTAACCAGTTATCTATATTTGAACACTGTAGGTGCGATTTAAATGCGTAAGTTATCAGTTACAGATATACTCGCAATCTATTAGATATCAAATTTTTTTAATACTCTGGTTTGATCACAAAAAATTTCTGATACCACTTTACTAATTAGGTTGCTATATACATGGATTGCCGCCGAGATTTATATGTTTTAGTTAGTATGATAGCCTGATTTGTGTTAAATTATGATGAGAATAAATACAATTAATTAATACCTCTATAATATGATTTTTTTTTTTTTTCAAAATTTGCTTTTTTAGTCAATATAGGATTTGTAAAAATTGGTGACTTATAGTTATTTCAAAAACAAATATATATATATATATATCTAACGAATTCAACGCATGGTTGGTCAAAAATTTATTAATATTTTGGATAAAGGTAGATTGGAATATGAATTGCTAAATATTGTAATTATTTAGTGTTTGGGTTCTGTTATCATTTAGTTTTAGGGTTTGGTAGATAGGCTGCCATGACTTCTGTTATGATATCTAGTCATTGATGATTGAAGTCTTTCTCTTCTTATTCACTTATGTTTTTAAACTGACAATGATAATATATGGATTATATAATAGCTTACAACATACGAATTTCTAAGCATTGGAACAACAACATAAATGATTCAAAGCCGTTAATGTCAGTAATCTATGTATGTAAATGAAAAATAAACCCTAGCTATTCAGGTTTTTTTTAATGTGCTTTTATTGTATATGATTTTTTAACTGGTGGATTATTTCAAAAAAATCCAAGACATTAAAAAAGGAAAAAAACCCAGTGATTTCTGAAAAAATAAAAGCATTTAAATTAAAACTATATGTTTAAATAAAACCAGTGGCATAGAATGGTAAATAATGTTAAAATAGAAGGGTACCTCAAAAAGGGCCTTGTGTTTTAATAGTATAGATTTGTTTGGTAACATAATCCCTTTTTTTCATGATATCTTCTTTCGATTGTGCAATCGGCTTAGGCGGTAGATCATTAGCATAAAAATTATGCTCTCTAAATGCTCTTTGTTCAATTGTTTCATATATGATTATTAGGAGAGCATTTATAAATAAAATTTATAAAACTTAAAAATAATTATACATAATTAATTTATTTTTGTTTAATAATATATTAAAAATCATTACAAAAATGAATAAATATTTTTAAAAATAAAATTTATAATTAAATAT